CTTTCCATGACAATTTGAAACACGTACCCCAATTGTCATCTTATATAAAAAACACTGATATATTTTTGTTATTGTTGCAAAAGGAGAAATCTCTGTTGTGGTAATAGATCTGTTACGGAGATCTACTTAACCTTTCCGTTATTTGGCTTCATTGCATTTACAGTTTAGCTTTATTAAATTTGCAAAATAGTTTGTTTATCTTCATTCTGGGAAACAAGGTGCCTACAATTTGCAAATATGTCGATCCAAAATAGACCAGCTAGCTGTTCTTGGCTGATACATTGTCAAAGCACACAATGAATTCCTCCCTCCTCTCTCTCTCACACACACACGCACATGCACACATACACTTCTTTCTCTCTCACATACACACACTCAGAAATGTATCCAGTAGAGTAAAATATTCACATTAATACTGGAAGCGATGGAGAAGAACTGCGGTCGACATCCCATCTGTTCGCTTGAATTAAATTTAGAATTCATATGTAATATAGACATTTCTGTCTGAATATCATAAAGCCCTGACACATTCAGGCTTTCATTAAAAAGCTCTGAGATGTGACTTGAATAACAATCTGTCTTAGCTAATTAGTATTTTCAGTTTAGCATATTCACTTTCAGACATATTGCTGTTTGCACATGGTAATTTAGGTAAACAGAGCCCATCCACAGCTGCATCAATTAACACTGCTAATCAAAACTGAATTCAGGTAATTAGGCACATTTATGCAAAAAGTGTGTAATTTGTGGGGAAAGCTAGATTCTTCAGTAATATTTCAATAAGTAGGAGTCTCTTTTTTGCAAATAAGGCAAGGAAATAATGGTAAATCAGCTCTAACATATACGTGATGCATACTCAGTGACAAATATCTAAATTAAATCTCACTAATTGGTCTGTATTTTCAGCAATTGGACAATAACTTTTTCATATAAATGTTTTCCTCAGTGTTTCTACATGGAAGAGTGAATTAATTTCTGATGAAAGTTTTAAAGTATTTAAAAGTTAATGTTTCCTCAAGCAGTTTTTGAACTGTTGAACATGATGGTCCAACTTGTTCTCATTTTCAGTCAGACAAATTTTTACGAAAATGCCCTCAATTTACAATTTCATTTCTTCAAAGAAGACATTTTTTCATGAAAGAAAAGCTTCTAGACATTTCTACCACCGTGCATTTCAAGAATGAAAAGTAGGAAATACTTCAAAAATATTCTGCCTTGACCTACAAAGTTTCATACCCTTTCCTTCTCTTTCCCTCACCCAAACCAAAATTTGAAACCCTCTAAACACTGCTAAAAAAACCCAAACCCCAACATTTAATCAGCATAAGAAACTGTACATTCATAAGAGAATTTTCATTTCTATTGAAACGGAAATAAGAATGTTCATTGCAACATTATGTTCCAAGAGTTTTCATATGTAGCTATTCAAGTTATTCAAATTCAATTCTCTGTAGTTTCTTTCAGAAAACTACACAAGTCCGATGGACAAAAAATGCAATTATCAACTTGCAGCTAATTTTCCATGATAAAAAGAAATAACTAGGCAATTATTGATTTTTAACAGAAGTCTAAAATCAATCTACTATTTTTGTATCTTCTCCCTGATTTGAGGCTAACTTTGTGTGAGGGATATATAATAAATTTTCATTATGTGCAGATTTGCAATATGGAATATGTAGCTTTTGCTAAAAACATCATTGTAAAGGAAAAAATCCTTTACCCTATATAACTATTGCAATTGAAGTGTGTTTTGCAATCATACAGAATACAGTGTATTATGTACAGTGAATATCACTATTCAGAAAGTTTTCTCTATATAGAAAACTGTTTTGTTCCATTATAGAAATGCTTGACATATGCTCCAGTTAAAATGGTCTTAAACTTTCAATTTTCATTTAGTTATTGGTAGAGTAGCATATTGAAGGACATTGACAAAACAGTTCAGAAGGAAAATAAAGTTGCTGAAGGAGCAAAATTTTGAAGTATTTCCTATTCAAATACTCACGATGACTACTGCTAATGTTAGAATGCTGAACGAGATAATTTCTAAACAATTATCAGACCAACTTAAAAATATATGCAGTTCCCTATGCCATTGTCACTAGGGGCACTGGTGAAGGGAAACAACATTATAACTTCACCTCTTTTCCATTCTTCCCTTGCAAGAGAGAAACACTCACCTATATGTATATCACACGCTAAGCAGCTGTCCAATCTCTCATGTGACTTATTAACATTGAAATACAGTGAAAATCATCGAAATAGTCTTACGTGACCTGTCTCTGACTGCTTGATAAATGCTTTTTCAAAAGAGCAAAACAGAAGGTGTAATGACTAACAGTGTTTATTTTAAATGTTATAGTCCGTAGAAAGGGAGTATAGTGACAACATCCTAGCCTCCCCCCTCCTCCACCTCCCACATTGCTAGTACCTTTTTTGCCTGAAGTAGTCAGATATAGCAAGTATTCGAACAGATTTTCCAGAAATATTTTACTATGCTGCCCTCTCTGTTCTGCCTGACCACATTGGTAAGTACAAGCAGACACAGTTAGGAGCATCTCTTCACTGAACCCATGCATGCATATAGTATACATTATACTTTATTATGAATTTTCCTGATGCATCACCCATTTGAAAATTTTGTATCATGCTGGAGTATTATTATTTCACACAATCTGAAAGGGATTTTTGATGTTGAGGTTTAATAAATGTATGGTAGTATTAGCTGGTAACAGACGGGCATAATGGCTATCTCAAAAAAGAAAATGCTATATACAAAAGTTGGCTGGTAAAATATGTAAAAGGATGGAGGCACCTTGCTACTAAAAAAAGAAAAAGCATTGGATGATATATACCTACTATTGTTAACTAAAGTAAGATTGATATGTATGACTACAAAGAACCTATAAATATTGTTTTCCTCAATTTAAAGAAAAGTTTCATCCTACTCCAAGCACTCAAAAGCATTCCAGAATTATAAGCAAACCAATACATATTCAAAGTTCACATTTACTTTCTCCACAGAGCATGCAACTCATTATTCATAACAGAAAAATTGTTGAAATGTTTCATGTCCCTGGTATTCATAGGGTTAATTCAAGGACAGGCAAAAATGTTTAGTTTGAGAAAAGAAAAAAAAGAGCCAAAATCCAACAATTAGTACTCTAAACTTTACATGAGGAAAAAAACCTCAATAATTTACAAATGTTGAAGGAAGTGCTAGTTCCATAATTAAAAATCAGGCAGAGATCCTTTTGGCAAATGGATCTCTTTGTTAAACATCCCACTAACCCAAGCCTGAAGGTATAATTCAGTACCCTGGAGTATCCCTTCTATACTTTTGCCAGCTGTTCCATCTAGGTCATTCCACCACAAGTTTAGCTTTTATCTATTCCTCACTTTCTTCACTGGGTCCCAGAAGCAGCAACCCATCTCTCTGAAGGCTGTTTAAAGTGTAAATGAAAAGATGAGACAGAAGTGAGCTGCTACCTCAGGGTCCTTAATTTCTGAACTGCAATTCCTTGGACTTCCCTACCTTGACAGATGCAATACAAAATCTTCCATGATGAAAAGTGAGGAGAAAAACTGAATCCAGAATGCACACAGCATGCTCATTATCATTTTAATGCCTTACAGCTGCATGAAAGGATAGGAAATTTTCCTAGGCAAAAAGTCCACTCGAGACCAAACAGTTGCAGTAGCCCTTCTGCCCTTCAGCCCAATTCCCAGTACTACTGCTGCTGGCATGCAAGGAAAAGCCTTCAAAGAGCCATTTTATCTCTTCTCAGGTGGGCAGGAAGAGGGAAACTCAGGGAGAGGAAGGAAAAAGAAAGAAAAAAAAGTAAAAAGAAAAAAATCCATGGTAGATCCAGTAAAGTGTGTGCCAAGGACCATGAAGAGTCCTGGGTGCAGACCTGACCCACTTGTCTCCCTCCCCTGGACCAGTGGAGGAAGGAGACAATAATGCTTCAAGGGCTTGTTTATGCAAACTAAACCAACCTCAAGTAACTAAACTGCTTCTAATTTACCACTATTTCGGTGCTTTTAGCAAACACATAAATTTCTTTAAAAAAGCAACAAAAATATGTGAACTGGATCCATTTAAAATGGTTCTAGTCAGTGTAAATTTAAGCCCTCAGAGAGTAGTTATAGTCCTCCAGAACTACTTTTAGACAGTACGCTGTTTTGTAGCAACACACTGATCTCTTACTCTGGGAAAATTAAGAGTAATTCACTATAAAACAAATCACTGCCCCAACATTCATTTGTCTGCTAAAAAAAACCACAAATGAGCAAGGCAGATACTCTGGGAGGAATTTTTAAGTGTTCAACTTTAAATGATGATCTATAAAAAATGCAACAAGCGTATTGCTGGGGTCTTTCCAATTTAATATTAAGTAATAATAATAAAGTTAGCACACAAACATACCAACTGTGATGTGAATCAGAATTATAAAATCTATTGGAAATTTACTTTCTAGGTGTTCAAATGTTGTTCAGTAGCACAGCGACTGTGACTCTGATGACCATCTGCGTGACTTGACACGTGCAAGTAATCCCACAGCCTTTAGAGAGCTGCTAAGATAGTGTCCTGATCCTACACATCCAGCATGATGTACTGGCTCCAATCTAAAAAAAACCACTTGTTCATATTTGTGGGAAGGATGGGAATCACAACCCTGTACAGCACAGCAATTCGCACACTTGCACTCAGCCTGCACTTGTGGAATTGCTCTGTCAGTCAAAAAGTGCATTTTGCAAGCTCGTCCATCTGACTTTTAAGGATTAGGGAAAAGGAAAAAAACCTTAAACAACATACATGCAGCTTTATTTCTAATTCTGCAGTGGCTTGCATCTAAGCAGCCCAGCTCCGACAAGCTGCCTTGTGAGGCCGGGCAGGGACCCTCACCTGTGTTACGCTGCCTGCCTGTGTGTGCATCAGCTGGTTCGAGGTCTACACGAGCAGATAAAACATATCTACAGTGATTTGTACTGCTTACCTTGCTGATGTGCTTCCATGCACTCCTGCCAACATTCCTGCATGTGAAGGTTCATTGCAGGCAGCTGCTCCGAAGTTCAGCGTCCCCGTGGCACAGCTGCTCCGGCGGGAATGAGCAGAGCAAAGGCAAGGTGCCACTGGTCAGTTCTACCACAGCCCAGTGCGCTGTCTGCAATCACATCTCACTGAGTGCAAAAGGAAAATTAAAACATTTTTTTTCTCTTACACTTAGAACAGTATGCTGTGTCATTCGTGTTTGCATTTAAATTGGACAGAATAATTTACTGCTGGCTTTTAATTTCAGAAGGGTTAATCACCTCAGCAAAGGTCAATCAAACTTTAATCCCCAATAAAATTGCAGTAGCTTCAGTCACCTGCAGGACATTTATTATATTCTTATTTCCATGCAAAAGAATGCATCACTAATCCTCTAATTCTTTACATTAGCACATTTGCCATTAACATTTTACTAAAATTATTAATTCCTATGAAACTATTACAAGAGCTCATTTCTACACATCTCAGAAGATAATCCTGTTAAAAACCAGCCACATCTACTGTGACATTGCTTTAGTTGTCTGCTCTAATCCTCACAATCGTTTGATATTCCAACCGAGTTCTAACAATGCACAAAGTCTCAATTACACAAAATATTACAGAGCTTAGTTTAGAACAACAATATACTGTTTTAGTAACTTAATCTTCCCTATTGCAATCATAATACTAATCTATTTTGCCACTGTTTACAGCATTTTCTATTCAAAATGAAATATAGATTTTTAATTTTGCTTAGCAAATCTTTGAAAAGCAGTAGATTGACAAGGATAAGTTAAAATCTAGAATCCATTACCAAGGGTAGGAATAATAATGATGATAGGAATATGTTTCTGGCCTGCAAAGAAGTATTTCCTCACAAAACAGAAGCCTCTTTTGGGGAATAGCCCATTAACAAATAAAGACATTTTTAAAAAATTATATATATTTGATCCTTTCAGTTTGGTCTAATAATTAAAAACAATTTATCTGCTATTAAATTGACTGAGAACTGAAAAATCTCTCTGAAAAATTCAAGTCAGAATTAGTTTTAAATTACATTTGCAATAACATCAGCTCAAAACTTGAAAATTATTTAACTTGAAATAGAAAATTATCAAATGGAAATGAGCACATCTCAACAAAAAGTTGATTTTAGGTAAACATCAGCTATTTCAGCTATACAACAATACATTCCTTTAAAATTCTACTGTAACAATTCCATCTGACTGCTCAGAACTAGTTTACCTGTAAAGATATAGAGAAAAGCAACAGAAAACTCAGGAAGAGCTCATTACAGTACTGAAATACAGTGCAAACAATTCATTTCCCAAATTTTAGATACTGGTACCAAAAAGTCAAAATTATTTGGCAGAAAAATACTAATACCACCAAAATAAATGGGTCTCCCTTATCCTCCTACCATGGCCATATCAGCTCCTGTGAGGAAGAAATCTCATGTCTATTTAAAATGGATTTTTTAGCCGTAATAACATTTTGACATACCGTAATGTAAATAAACTGTTCTTTCCCATCCCAATATTTCCTTCTGTGTCTCTCTGTGTCTCTCTGTCTCCGTCTCTCTCCTCTTTTTGTTTTAATATATGGCACACAGACAGACACACGCCCCCGTCACTGTCAATATGCACACTCATTAGCAATATGTCAGGCTGGCATTTTCAACACACTCCAGAGCATAACTGAACTACCACACAGAGCGCACACACACACATGTAAAAATACAATTGCACAGAAAAAGAGCTCAGTGGAATAATTTTTAACTTGGAAAACTAAGTAAACATGAAAAAGGAGTGAGATTCTCAGCCAATATTTTACAAAGGTGCTGTGAAGTGAATCTCCAGCTATCAGCACCGATGCTGCTCTCCTTTTACACGCACAAACACACAGACAAATACACATATACAAAAGAGAGCATTTTACCGAGAGATCCTAACACTGAATTATGGATGCAAGAATGTGGGATTTTCCCTATTGCTGTTTTTTTTTATACCTTTTAAATTACACTCTAACTTGAAGTAATGATTGAAAATAAATATTGCAAAACGTAACCCCAAACAACTACAAGTTCCTAGAACATAGACTGTCAACAGCATTTGTAGTCCTTCCAACTAAGAAAATTAGCTATGAAAACAACTCCATCCATATTTTTTGCAAAAAGCATCTGGCAAGACACTGAAGACCACTTAGAAAGGGTGAATAGCACTGAACTACAGTTTTGACTATTCACCTTTTGACACATTGATAAAACATATTCTAGATTGCCATTGCAACTGCTTTAAAATACAACAGAATAGCTTCACATGGCACCCTGAAATGAAAGGTATCATCAAAGGACCATGTATTTAATTTTTCAAGAGAACTAACAGTGAAGAAATGTATAGGGAAAGAAACATACCTTTAGTTATCCCAGCGAAAGACTTTTCAGCACATCTACATAGTCCTGCGGCTCCACCAGTACAAAAGTCAACACTGCAGTGCTTCTGATCTCTGTGACAATGGCATCATACTGCCGGCAATTTTTTCGATTAAACTTCTCAGACATGGTAGCAACTTTGTTAATTATGATATTAGCCAGCTGGCGGGTACAATCAATCATCCACTGTAAGAAAGCCAGACAAAGAGACATCTAATCATTGCAACCAGAGGAGATAAATTTTGTTCCTTTCTTATACATGTCACAGATTCTATCCCTCCTGACCCTCTACACAGCCATCGACTGTCAAATTTAGATTCAGCAAGCTCCCAGCTTTTCTTTATCCCTGCCTTAGATCTGAAACTCCTGGTTATCAGGAAGACAAGCGTCACCAGCTGTCTCAGAACAGGAAGGCAATCAGGTGAATAGTACTTATTATCTCTCATTGCCTTCTGAGGAGCAACAAGATTGATTTTGGACCAACAACGCATCCAGATCTCAGGCACAGCTACTACAGTATCAAGTCTACAATGCAGTGCATACGTAAAGCTGACCTCAACCTTTGTTAATACTGCATACCAAAAGTTTGAGGGCTGCTCTTTTTTTTGTTTTGTTTTGGGTTGAGTTTGTTGGGCTTTTTACTTTTGTTTGGGGGGGGGGTTGTTTGTTTGTTTGTTTGTTTGTTTTATTTTGGTTTGTTTTTTTCTCTAAGAAAACTCTTAAAATATTTTTTTTCTTCACAGCTGCACTGGATATTCTCTTATTCTAGGCCTCCTTCCCCCCACCTCAGAAAACCCAGGCAAGCAGACCACACCATTTCTCAGGGGACTCTGTATCACAGTTGGATAGTCTTAATTGGGCCCACAGAAGCAGTTAGCTCCCATTAAAGGCTTCTCTGTATACATCTTCCTCTCAACTAGTCTGATCGTACATAAAACCCCACTAGTGAAGACTACACTTTGAGAAGGTTAAACACACAAATATATTGTAAGCCCAAAATATAAAAGAATCCTAACAGAATTTGAGCTGATAGTGAATTTCAGCATTGCTTTAGAAAATAAGAATATATTTGGGCTTTTCATTTACAGCATTGGCCAATCATGTGCTCTTACTCTAAGATATTTTTTTACAACCCAAATATGTTGCAAAGTACAGTAGTTCATATGAAGTAGAAACAAGGGGTACCATAGAATAAAAGCTATCACAGCAATACATTCTGATACAAAAACCCCCATCAACTAACTTGATGCATTTCAAAATGCCTGCTGACCCTTCCACTTAACTAAATAGAATGAGTATATTAATCAATTAATAAAAATTTATAAGGACACGCAAAAATTTTTATGACCAGTTTTGGATTCATGGCGTATTAGCTGCCCTGGCACTTCAACCAAAGACTGCTTTTCCAAAACAATATATTTTCAGAAAATGTGATCTTATTTTTATTTCACCTTAACTGAAAGCTAGTTTAATATTTAAGGTGGTATCCAGCAATACTATCTCAGTTGTGAAGAAGATGTTCTGGACTTAACAGCATAAAATTATCGTTGTTTTTAGTAAATCCATTCAAAACAATATTTTTTTCTTGAAAGTTTTCACATGTAATTCAGCTAAAATTTGCACATTTTCTTGAAATCCAAACAGAAAATATTGACAATTAGAAAATAGTAGCTTGAGGGAGTAACAGTTACACCCTGACCTCACTACCTTGAAATTACAGTGTGGCCTTTGCCTGCTTTGCCTTTCAGAAGTCAAATTTTCTTATATATCTTTCTCATTTGGAAAGTTTATGATTGTATATAGGAATGGTTATGGTACTCATAATTCATTATTAAACACAACTAATTGCTTTCTGATATTTATCGGAAAGGATGAGGACAAGAAAATAAATCACATCCTCAAATGTAATGTCATAATTTCATTCATTCTGGATGACTGATGAAAGTTTCTCAGGCAGATATTGAAGACTACACCAGTTCCACTCTGCAACCTATATCCAAATCATTAACAAATTGAGATCTAGCTCAAGTGCCTCCACAACACATCGTCACCAACGCAATGTCAGATGCACTGTTAAAAACCTCAGTCCTAGCCCAACTCAAATGATCAATTCACTTTATTAAAATATCTACCGCCAAGAGGATTTTACTCAGAAGTTAAGGAAGCCCTTTGTGAACTATTCGATCTCAATTCTATTGCTGCACTCAAATCTTGCTTTTGTTAGACAGCTGTTAAATATGAAGAAGTAGTCTTGATCCTAGCACAGAGCTTTAAGGCAAGAGGAAATAACTGAGCACAGCAGATAAATGAGGGACTTGGGACAGGCACAAAAATAGGAGGCTGCCATAGCTACTGATTCATTTTTCTGGAAGGTGAACCAAAATCATCAGATACATAAGGCTATCCACAGCAGTATCTCCAGTCAGCCACCAGCATAGACCTGACTAGGTTTCTAAGCTCTCAGAAGAGATCTGAGCTGGCAAAACTGGAAAACAAGAATGGTCTCTGACAGACACAGACTGACCTGACTGATTATTTAAGAGAAGCATGAAAGGAGGATCAAACTTGGCACCTCAGCAGCACTTACTTTTGTCCATTTTCAATAATTACATCAGGTTTTTCTCTTATTTACACTTTTTTCTTTTTCGTTACTTCGGAGTTCACCGTGTACAGATATAGAATTAACTTCATCTACCCTCAGCTGATCACTATGTTCTCCTCTGTCGTGACTAGGATGAAGGACAGCATAACAGGCATCTGCTAAGCATGAATTATTATACCTATTTCCATACTTGGATGCTCGTGGAACGACTCATATACTGGATGTACTGTCTCTCCACTAGCTGATCTGAATTCAGTTTTAACCCTGGTTGGAGCAGGAGGCTGGACTAGTCGACCTCTGGAGGTCTCTTCCAAGCTGAATTATTCTATTCATCCATGAACTGTCTAAGACAAAAGCAGCATAAATAGTAACATTTATGAGATGATCCATATTACAGCAATTAGACACGTAATTTTTTCAGCAGGGCAGGGTGCCTCCTCTGAGTATTTTGGCCTCCACCTTCCTCAAACCTTTTGAAAAAGCAGCCTTTTTTGGTAGTCTTTTTTCTCCTGTCCATTGAGACAAAAATATTAGAATTACCAAATCCTCTACAAAACAAGAGGTTCAGAGAAAAGGAAACATATCAAGGGGAATACACAAAGAAAGTGCACAAAGACCTCCATAGAAGCAACTAGACAACGTACCTGATATAGGATGAGAAAAGGAAAGTGAGTGGTAAAGGAAGAGTAAACTCGGGGTCAGGTAAAAGAAAAATTTCCTTAGAAAGGAGAGAGATGAAAGAAAGGATAGTCCCTGCTTAACTAAGAGTATAACCAGTTTAAAAAAAAAAACAAACCACAAGCCATGACCCTACTAATGGTGGTACAGGCTCAAAGTAGAGATTTATTCTGGTAAAGACAAGATTACTCCAGGATTTCCGCATTATGTGCTACATTCCTAGAACACAAAAAATTGCAAAGAAAAGCAAAAAACAAAAATCACACACACAAAAAAAAGCAAGTATAGAAAAGACTAGGATCCATTATCTAAGAAAAAAAAATATTTTTAAACATTTTGATCAATAGTCACAATAGTATTTCACAATCCCAGACGGACATAAACACATTTAGTTTCAGTAATGTATACCTATTCATAAGCTTAACCTTAAAAATGCCCATTGAATAAACCTTCCATTTCTACTCTCACAAATCCTGTAAATCTTCTATTCAGTACCCTGTTACTAAAAATTAGGTGAAATTAAACAATAATATATGTAAATTATACCTTTAAAATAACAAACAATGTAATGAAAGGAACACTCTTCACATTGCAATCCAGTGGGTTTTAAATTAACTTTTAATGCTCAGCAGCTGCTAATTAATTAGGAGCCTATATGTTTGACTGTACTACAACACACAAATTAGGAGAAGGAAAGGTGCAACACAAGGGCAAAAAGCCAGTGCTAGATGGTGCACAGATGCCAGTCCTCAGGTTTAGGGGAACACACAGCAGAGCCCAGGTCCAAGGAGTGTCATCTGTCTGCAGTGAACCTCTTCCTGAAATCAGGAGCTTTGAAGGCTTGGTGATACACTGACCCTCTCACTCACCAATTCCTCCCTCGCTCCAAGAAAGACCATATGTAACTACAGAAAGAGAGCTTATGGTATAGTTTGTTATTTTGGCACATCGTATGCATCTAAAATAGTCATGGATATTTTTTTTCTTTTTAATTTTATTTTTAGCAGTGCAAATCAAGACAGCCTGCATAATAAACTGCATGTGTATTCCACTGAAAAGAATGAAATAATAAAATTTCACAGTGCAGAACAATGACTGCAAAGGTCACACATAGCTTCTCGAGGGGGAAGCGCCATGAGGCAGATGTGAAGAGGCCACATGTTGTGTCAATCCTTAGCATAGAATGAACAGAGGTGAAATATCAACGCATTGCAAGAAAAAAATTCTTGCCTATATTCTAGGAACCAACAAAGAAACAAGGGGAAACTTGACATTTCTCCACCCAGATCATGATAAACAGGTCCAGTTTTATCCCACTTTAATATTGTCAGTAGACATGAACTAAAGGACTGCTATGACCAGACGCAGATGAGCCTGAAAGCTGTGAATTGTTTTTCCTTGCTACTCCTTTTTTCTTGCACCAAAGTTCTGCTATTCTGCTACCTACACTAGTAGTCAGACACACCTCTTCTTAAACTGACCAGGAAGAACATATACACTGGCTCAGACACCAGCACCCTGCCTTTGGCAATGGCCAGTAGCAGGTGTCCAGGAAGAATGTAAGGGCAAGCAAGGAGCAATTTCTTTCCTGATGTACGCTCCCAACTTCTGCCCACACATGGCACAGAAGTTAACAAACATGACAAGAATTTCAATACAGTTATGCTGTGTAACAGAATGTCAAAAATCAGTACCAAGGGTGCACAGTTAAATAACTGACAACATATCTGTAAAACAGGAAGGCTCGTGTGAATAAGAAAGTTAAGACTGAGCTGAAATCTACAAAAAATAATTCTATCTTAATTTTTTGTTTGCCTATTTTTTAAAAAGTCAAGTAATTCATTAACATTAAGACTAACAATTCTGGACTGGGGAGGGTGCAGGATTTGTATCATTCTGTAAACAT